AGCTCGCCCCAGCCCTGCGGTGCAAGGACACGAGAATGAGAGCTGCCCTGTCATTGGAGAAGCGCATGGTGATTGCACTGTGGAAGGTGGCTACTGCAGACAGGGCCGGCTTTAGGAAGTGCGGGGCCCAGGGCCCCGGCAGGGATAACTCATGGCAGCGCTCCGGGTCTTCCGCGGCACTGAAGGACACGCCACTGAAGACCCAGTAGAGAACCACCCGATGAATACACCGACCCCCCCCGCACTGTCCTGCCCTCGACTGCCCCCCTCAGAAACCGCAACCCATCAACCCCCCCCCGCTCCTTGTCCCCTGACCAATCCTTCCCAAGACCCCCCACCCTAACTGCCCCCCAGGACCTCACCCCCTACCCAATTCGCCCTGCTCCCTGTCCCCTGACCACCCCGACCCCATTCATCACCACCCCGACAGACCCCCGGCACTCCCACGCCTACCCAACCCCCCCTTCCCCATCCCCTGACCGCCCCCCCCAGAACCTCTGCCCGATCCAAGCCCCCCCCCCCAGCTCCCTGTCCCCAGGACTCCCTGCCCCTGCCTTATCCAACTCCCCTGCCCCGGTCTCTTACCATGCTGCTTGCTGGAGCCAGGGCTGCCACGCCGCCATGCGGGCCAGGGCCGCCGCGCTGCCCGGCCAGAGTTGGGGCTGGGGCCGGGCCGGAGGGAGCCGCCGGACTGGGGTCACTCGGCCGGAGCCAGACTGGGCTGCACTGCGCTGCGCCCCCCTGGAGCCATCCTTGCGTCCCCCGCCCCAGCTTAACTGCCGCTTCTTGTTTCCAGGCTTCCCATGCGAATATCTGATTCGTGGGAAGCAGGGGAGGGGGAGGAGAAGGGGGGCAGAGCGTTCAGGGAAGGAGGGGGAGGTGAGCTGGGGCCGGGGGCGGGGCGGACAGCTGCCGCGGGGCCCGATTCAGTGGAACCGGAGGAATCGGCCTAAGGCCAACCCTGCCTACAGACTGCTACTGATCGTTGCTAACCAGTGCGGAGTGGGAAAGCCAACTGTTGGACTCATGTTGATGGAAGTGTGCAGGGCCATTAATCGCATCCCGCTCTGAAAGACTAGCTCTGGGCAACATGCGTGATATTGTAGATGGCTTTGCACAAATAGGCTTCCCTAACTGTGGAGGGGTGATAGATGGCACGCATATTCCAATTCTGGCACTAGACCACCTAGCCACCGAGTGCATGAATCGGAAGGGGTATTTCTCAATGGTTCTCCAGGCGCTTGTGGATCACCATGGGCATTTCACAGACATTAACGCAAGCTGGTCCGGAAAGGTGCATGACGCACACATCTTTCAGAACACTGGCCTGTTCAGAAAGCTACAAGCAGAGACTTTCTTCCTGGACCAGAAGATCACTGTAGGGGAAGTCGAAATGCCCATTGTGATCCTGGGAGACCCCACCACCCCCTTAATGCCGGGGCTTATGAAGCCATGCATGGGGCACCTTGACAGTAGCAAGGAGCAGTTCAACAACAGGCTGAGCAAGTGCAGAATGGCTGTTGAGTGTGCTTTTGGCCATTTAAAGGCCCGCTGGTGGTGCCTATATGGGAGGCTGGACCAGGCCGATGACAATATTCCTATGGTTATAGCCACGTGCTGTCACTCCATAATATTTGTGAAGGGAAGGGTGAAAGCTTCACTCAGGGCTGGACCACTGAGGCTCAGCGCCTGGAGGCCGAATTTGAACAGCCAGAGACCAGGGTTATTAGAGGGGCGCAGCATGGGGCCATAAGGATCAGGGATGCCTTGAGGCAGCAATTTGAAGCTGAAAGCCACTAATGTTTGTTGCTATGCTCAGGAGTGCAGTGCTTGTAATGCTAGGACGTGATTGTGATTGGTGCAGACAAGGTACTATGAAGGTGTAAGAAAATTGCCTGTTGCTTTGCAGGGCGATGTTTGCTTTCAATTAATGGAATAAAGATTGCTTTCAAACCAAAACAACCGGAGGAGAGAAATAAACAAAAAACCACATCAGCACTGAGGGGGATGGGGGAAGGGAGGAGGGTGGGGGCTTTATAATCATTCCTGTCCCCACATTTTCCATAGGCTATGTTCATTATGGATGATATCGCGCTGCTGAAGGTGAGCAGGGAATCAAGTGAAGGTCTTCTCCATGACTGCAGCTTCTACCCCGGCCCTTATGCAGCTCGCCTGTGTGCAGCAATGTTTCCACCCCCTCCTCACAGTGATGGCAGAGTGGTGCGGGAAAGTTACCGTTAATGGGGCAAGAAACAAAGCAGCCCTGCCAAAGAACCTGCGGCAACGGATTGCCCAGTATTGAGGGAGTCGATCAACACCCTGTTCCGCTGCTCAGACTAGACATGTGGTGGTACGGGCATCATAGAGACACAAGCCTGCTCTCTGCAACCCTTGTGCCCCCAACAACTCACTTCATCGATTCCCAAAATCAAAGCCACTTACCAGGGGCCTCCTCTCTTGTTTGCACTTCACTAAGATCTGACAGCTGTGACTAGCTAGCCTCCTCTGGTGTAGAGAAAAGCTCCTGGCTGCATGCGTTTCTGACCTCCGAGTCGTCCTCTGCCTCTGGGTCCCCCTCCACATCCTTGTACAAGATTTCCTCCTCCTGTTTCGGTCCACTCTCGACTGGCAAGCGAGCCACTGAAGTATCTACAGTGGCCTTCGCAGTGAAGGTGAGGTTGCCACCGAGTATAGCGACGACCAGCTCTTTGTAGAACGAGCAGCTTGTGGGTGCAGCACTGGAGCAGCAATCTGCCTTCCGCGCCTTGTGGTAGACGTTCCGCAGCTCCTTCACTTTGACCCTGCACTGAAGTCACAGTCATAGCCCCTTTCTGTCATGCATCGTGAAATCTGTCCGAAGGTATCATAATTCCTATGACTGGAGTGCAGCTGGGACTGGACAGCCTCCTCTCCCCAAATGCTGATGAGGTCCAGCAGCTCGGCACCAAGCAGGGGATCGCATGGTGCATGGAGCAGGCATGGCCACCTGGAAAGATGCGCTGAGATCACTGCACGAGTCACCGAGCAAACACGAAGGGGACTTTCAAAATTCCCAAGGAATTTACGGGGTGGGGATGATGGTTGGTTACCTGAGGACAGGGCAGTAGAGTTCAAACCAGTGACCAGAGAGGCAAGAACAGGCTTTGTGGGAAACCTCCCAGAGGCCAATCACAGTGCTGTAATCGACCAGGGTTTCTACACCAGCACCGCAGAGCTGTACCCCTGGCGCAGAAAGCTGTACACCTCTCATCAGGGTAGGTTTTTTTTACAGTGCTGCAACTGCGCAGTTTCTGCGCACTAAGTGGCTTAGCGGTGTTGGTGTGTACACCTCCGCAGTTACAATGCAGAAAGCTGCTTTACTGTGCAGAAACCTGCCTGTGTAGACAAGGCCTTAGTAACATTATAAGGACCTTAACCCCATCTGTAGATGGCGCAGTCGGCAATCCAGCTGACGTAATTATTGGGAAGTGAATTAACTAATTCCACCCGCAAACTCTCTTCCCCGGGTTTAGAGCTTCTTCATTAAAGTGCTACAGCTATGCAGTGTTTTAAGTGTAGACATGCCCTCCCGTTAAGTATGTTTGTTTGGAAATGGTGTGTGTAAGCTAGCAAAGGGCCAATGATACAGCATCCAGAGAAGTATCTCCAGATGCAAGTTAGCTAGTTGGAGTTCATCATGCTTCAGGTGCCCTTGTCTCTGTAATGGCAGGAAGGAAGGAATGCTGGAGCCCAGGACTGTGGTAGCTCCGTGAGGAGACGTGGCCACTGGAATGGGGTGGTTGGGAGGGAATGGGGGACACGGGTGGCTGGCTGGGCAGGATCTAGTCACTGCACAGCGCCCATCAGCGGCCACCTGCCAGAAGTGCATGATGCCGCGTGGCTGCGTCTCTCTTGGCTGGGTCTCACCAGTCCTGCCTTCGGGGGAGAAGGGTGTTTGCAGCACGTGCATATTTCAGGGGGCGGTGGGACCCTGCGTGCGTGCGGGGAGACTCGAGGCTGGCCAGGACAATGGGCCTGGCAGGCGGACAGTCAGGAGGTGGCCGCTGGTAGTGGCAGATCATAGCGCGGCGGGCCCCTGAAGGTGGGGTTGGGGCCCGGCTGTTGGATTCAAACGGCCCCGAAGGAGCCGGTGCCTGGGAGAGAGGTGAGGGCTGAGCCCGCGAGACGAGCCCAGCGGAGGGGAGGGGCTGGGTGGGCGGGCGAGTCTCTGCGTTGGTCTCCCGTGTGGGAGCGCAGCCGGTTTCTACACGGGGAGGGGGAGCTGCAGCCGCCACGGGGACGCTCCAGCAGGTTGCCGGCAGGTTCGCAGCCGGGCGCACGCGCGGCGCACACCCCCAGGCGGCTGCGCTGCCATTGGCCAGTCGGGGCGGGACCCGGGGGTGCGTCCCGGGGCGGGGCTCCGCCCGCGTGGGGGTGGGGAGCCGGCTTCTGGCTCCGGCGCGGGTGGCCTGGGGGGTAGCGGCGATCGCGCGCAGGTTAAAAGGGGGCAGCGCGGCAGCCGCGCGAGCAGTTCTGTATCATGTCTCTGCGCAGCAGCTTCGCCCGGCTCCTGCGGAAGCAGGCGGGCTCCGCGCTGCAACTCCAGAAACCTGCCCACTCCGTGGCGCTGATCGGAGCCCCGTTCTCCAGGGGGCAGGTGAGCATCGCGGGGGAGCAAGCGCCCCCTGTCCCCCGAAGGGTGGGCGTGAGTGTGTCCCGCCCCCAGGCATCACAAAGGGATCGGCACCCCCGAGAGACGCTCTGCGGCCGCGGGAGGGGGAACCTGCCGCCCGGCCGGCCGCGATGGCGGGTCCCGGGTGCGGTGGGGGTCGTGCTCGGCTGGCCGCAGTAGCCGCATTGTCTCGTTGTCCCAGCGGGTTTCCCCGGGGTGGCCCAGGCTGCGGGGTACATTCTCGCCACGCTTCTGTGCCACCGGAGGGACGCCGCCGCTCCCACGTGAAGCGCCCTCGGGGAGCGGACCCCGCGGCTCACTGATGGCTGGTCGGGAAGGAAAATACCCTCCCCAGGTCGATTCGCGGCTCCATGTGATTTCTGCGGCTCAGTCCGCTTCTGTGAGCACCAAGCCTCGCCCCGCAGTGGATCCTAACGGAGCCCCTTTGTCTTACAGAAGAGAAGAGGGGTGGACCACGGCCCCGCTGCCATAAGGAACGCGGGGCTGACGGAGCGGCTCTCCGGCTTGGGTAAGGGGCGGGCCACGTGCAGTAGCAGCGGCTGGGTGGAAAAGTGGCCCGTCACTGACATGATTGGGGCCATTAGGAGACTGGGGGTATTGCATACCCCTACATCCCCGTTGCCTTAGCGTGACTCACTTAGCTGAAACATGAATCAGCCCCACACGCAGAGCTCTCTGCTGGAAGTGGTGGGCACCTCCCTGTCTAGAAAATGTCTCTGCCTTGTCCCTGTGAAGTAAGATGAATCATAAAACCCAGTATCTGTACTGGGGCAGCAGCAGAGATGCTGAGGATTGAATGGGCCATAGAGACTTGAAAGTAGCCTGTAAACCCCTGTTAAAAATGTTTGTCTGTGGCTCAGTAGTAACTTGCACAAAACAGACATCATTTGTATGTATGTGGCTATTGGGCAGTTAAATTTGCGTGTGTGTAAGGGAGGCTTTGGTCTGCAGAAACTTGGGTGTGCCAGACCAAACACCCAGATTTTTAGGTGTGGAAATTTGAGAATATCATTCAGACAATACTTCTGAGAATGTCAGCAGCAAGGGCAAATGGCTTAATTAATTTACTGCACTCCTTCAAATAATCAACTACTTAGCTCAGCCCCTTAATAATAATACCTGAGCCCTGTCCCAAAAGGAGTCCAGAATTGTCTGAAGAAAACCTCAGGTTTTTGTCTCCAGTCTTTCATCTAATTCTAGTCTTGCATTGAGAGGATATAGGAATAGTGCTATCTCAACAGAAAGAAAATGTGATCTTGCCTTGTTTGTTAGTAGGGCTGGGTGTAAGCAAAAGCAAATGTTTGGTCTTGTGTAGTCTCAATAATTTATAGCCCATTCCCTCCTACCTTCAGAACCAGAGAAAACAAGTATCCTTACTTTTTTTGTCAATGGCTGAATAAGAGGGTCAGGCAACTTGCAAGTCAAATAGTAGACCTGAATTCATGTTTGTGGTCTCAGTAGTGAGGCTTGGCAGAATGTGATTTTTATTTTTATTTTTTTTATAATTTTGATGGATAGTATCAATGTTGGTTGATTTTACATTTTTCACAGTTGTGTAAAATTATGGGTTTTAAACCCTGATCTCCTCTCAGGGGCTTTTAATTTTTTTTTATTTAAACTTTAACATTTGTGGGAAATTATGGGGAGGATCAGACAATTAATGACAGTAGACATGGATTCAAAATACTAAAGCTTTATTAACTGCTAAAACAATTTGTCAATATCACATGTCAAAATGTAGGAAGTAAATATCTTTAAATCAAACTCAAAGTACTTTGCAAGCAGCACTCTTCTTATTTTGTGTGTTTGTAGATTTCTATTATGGATGGATGGAAATGTTTTTGTCAGTTTGTGTGTGTATGGTGAAATTATGCAGTGTTGTAGCTGTGTTGATCCCAGGATATTAGACAAGGTGGGTGAAGTAATCTTTTATTGAACCAATTTCTGTTGGTGAGAGAGACAAGTTTTCCAGCTTACACAGAGCTCTCCTTCAGCTCTGGTAAAAGTACTCAGAAATGTTACAGCTAAAATAAGAGATGAAACAGATGGTTTAGCATAAGTATTGAACACATTTCAAGGGACACCCTCCAGTCAGAGGGGGCCGGGCTCAGATTCTGGAGCTGTGTGTCGCTCCCTTCCCACTCTTCATGGGGGCTGGCCAGGGCTCCCACGGTGCCCCTCAAATGTTCCTCCATGCCCCCCCCCAAGGGGGGTGCACTCCACAGATAAGGGACCTCCGATCTATAGTCTATAAAGTTGGCTGTGTTCCTTGGGGCTGTGTGCACACGGAATGGACTGCAGGGTCAGACCTTAAAGGATTAATTCATGATGCCTGCATGTAAATCCTATTAATACTAATTACATATAAGTGTATGCACAGAGGGGAGATTAATCCCTTAATCACCAGGAAGCTATATCTTCTTCTCCACAACATGGAGTTCTATTCAGGCAGATGATGATGTTCAGCAGATTTTAGTATACAGTGTTTAACCCTATCCTACCCAGATCCTTATGATTCAATAGCTAAAAGCTTCCAGCCTGCACTGCTTAGTATCTATAAATGAGTTGTCTCTTACCACCTCACTCCATGTTCACTTTTTGCATCATGCAGCATCTCTGGATATAGGCCACAACAGCCTTTGGCCATATCATGTTAGAAAAACGATTGATGGCTGTGGCATCCTGAAGTAAAACGTGGTTCTGGAGACTGGAGAGCCTTAAGTTATCTAAAATCTCTGAAACTCAGAAGTTACCAGATGTAAAAGAAGGGTATAATGCTCAAGGGGGATTAGGCAATTCTTTATAGTTTATCTGTCAAGTGACTCCAAAATTCTTTGACCAGTCAGTTAGTCTATAGTTAACTATGGGGTCTTCTTCAAATAGCAAAGGTCTAAATTCAGTTTTGTTAAGAGGTTGTACCCAAATCCAACCTGAATAGAAATGTTTCCATGACATTGGCAACCAAAACTTCAATGAAAGCTTCTGTTTGCTGGGTGTTTGTTTATGTTTTGGTTTGTGGGTCATTCCTTCTCTTCTCCCTCCTCCTTCCCCTTCCCTATATTCAGGGGAAGGGATATGAGATTCTTTTGACACTGGAAATGCTATCTTTTTGTGACGGTAAAAATTAAAAGTGAAACTGACTAAGTGTAGTTTTGTGTCAGTCATATGGAAAAAAACCAAAAATGAATAAATGGTGAAAAAAAAACTTCCAGGCTCAGATCCTCAAAGGTATTAGGTGCCTAATTTGTATTGATTTCAGTAGGAGTCAGGAGCTTAAATACCTTTGGGGATCTGGATCCCAGTGTTTACTAACTTAAAATATCAGTAAAGTGGGGGAAGGGCTTAATTTTTTTTCTTTGTCCCTTTAAATATTAAAAAATTTCAAGGTCTTCTCTCCTTTTGTTGCTAAAATGCACTTTTTCCAGCACTGATATGAGCTGCTGCTTTTCTGTTCATGTCTGTTGTTGTCTTAGTGTTTTATTGCAGCTTAAATTTCTGCAGCCCTGTTGATGAATAGGGTCAGATGGTGTATGGATTGCTATAGACTCTGCCAGAAGGGGCCCTCACTGACAAGCAATGATAGACTCAGTCAGCATCCACAGGGGAGAGTTTTATATGGTAGGGACAGCCTATTGCAGTGTAGTGTAGAAGGTTAGGGAGGAAGTCACTGAGCAAGGGGATGCTTTGTGTGTGGCTATTGTCCAGTGAGGAATAAGATTGAAATTCAGCAAAGGATGTTTTATTTTTCCCCTTAGCCTGGCAGGAGGGCTCCGAATATACAATATTGCTATAGTTTCTTTTTCTTTTTATTCATTTGCAACTTTCTAATGTTACAGTAGAAAATAAAGTGAATTTACAACAGCTGTTGTGTGCACAACACTGTTGGTTATGACTAATCTAATTTTCTGGACCTAAATTCACTATTAAACTCCTGATTCCCAGCAAAGGAAATGAGAGTGAAAAAAGACACTAAAAACCTTTTCCAAGTTCTTAGGACTCTGTCAAAGGAACTAAGTGATTCCCCTTCCCCCACTGTTGGCCTTTAGGTGGGAGGAGGGAGGTAATATTGTGAGACTGAGAAGCTCCTTAAAGAGATGTAATAACATTTAACTGACATGTACAACATCGGAGAATCAGCCTCACATTAATGCAGCTTTTGAAGCATTCACATTCATTGCGTGTCCATAGTACATTCAGCATGGACGTGAGCATGCAAAGAAAGCTTTTATGTGTGGTGTCCATACTCCCAACTAGTTCAAAATGGGGTGGGTGCATGCATGTTGTGTGCACACCTGGCGATTACATGTGCCGGGCGCATGACTTGTCCCAGCAGAAGAAGGTGCAGTGGAGGGTGCATTCTGTGGGTACATGGGAGCCTAAGTGAAAAGGCTTCTGCTTCCTTCTTCACCTGCAGTAATATGAATTAACAAAGTGCAATATTAGTTAAAAACAAGTAGAAGGAGCTTATTTATTTGGGGGTGGGGGGTGCGGACAGGGCAGAAATTATGGATCCTCTTTTTCTTCCTACTGGGAGGGGGGGGAGGTGTGTGTTTTAAATCAGTATCTTTTAAGTGATTAGTGTTCCTTGACTTATATTACAAAAGCAAGAAATAATGGTTCCTGTCTAATGCCCTGGAGTTGAGGTGGGTAAAATGCGTGAATTGTACCTCCTGATTCCTAGATCCTGTCTGCAATCATCTTTGTTGCTCTGGATGCTGAGGGTATGTCTACACTGCCCATGTGAGCGTGCCTCCCAGGTTGGGTAGACAGAGACACATTAGCTCCGCTTAAGCTAGCACCCTAAAAATAAGGGTGTGGAAGTTGCAGCATGGGCTAGTCACCCAATGTCTGCACCCTTATTTTTAGCATCCCAGCTGGAGCAGAGCTAGTGCATATCTGTCTACCTGGGCTGGGAGGCATATTCACAACTGAAACGTAGAGGAGGTCGTATGTGTGAACTCCACATCAGGTTTTATTCTCCTTCCATCATCCCAGTTTTTCAGATGTGCTTGTGCCTGAATTAGGGCCGAGATTGTTATAAATAGTTCTTACCACAACTGCTTGCTTTGTGGGAAAGGGAAAGGAAAGACTTTAGAACTTTCCTGTCTGTATTGCCCCTTTCACATCTCACCCTCAATAATTGATATTTTTGGGAGGGAATTTGCAGTCCCTGCCTTCTGCCCTAACCTCTCTTCTTCCCCTCCTTCCCCCACCCTGAGATCATCTGGACAGTGTCCCCCTCCCCCCCTTGTATAATTTTCTGCGCTTCCTTCCAAAAAAGTCCTGAGCTGCCCCTTACTTTCCCTTCACCCTGAGGTCACGACAGCAATGGTTGCTGTTGGTATTGCTGTCATCTAGCTGGCTGGGACACGCACTGCTTCTCAGCTGCTCGCTTGTGCTCTTAGTGAGACAGAGGGATGGAGCCAAGAGGCAGAGAACATCCCAATCTTACACAGCTTGGCTGAGACGAGTCTGAGCCCCTAACCTGCCTTTCACCCTCCCAGCAAC